GGATGCCATTGGCAGCCTGGGGTGGGTGGGGAAGGGATGCAGCGTCCTGGGCCTGGGGTCGGTCTGTTGGTATGAACTAGCCCAGGATGAGGACGCTGTCACGTTTTGGGAAGAGAATAGGAAAAAGATTCAGGGAAAAGCACCTGTGAGAGTGTCCCAACACCCACTGTAGTACAGAGGAGAAACTGAGGCACGGGGCTTGGGTGAAACCCAGTTATGACTGTGTGGTTTGCATGAATGAACAAGACCCTGGGACGATGGTGGAGCTGGCTATAGCCTCCATCATCTGAGGGCATATCAGGTGAGGGATGCATCCCTCCAGCCAGATAAGAGGGTGAGCCTGAGGGTAGGTTTCACGTGAGCTCTCAAACCAGGCTTCGCCTTCAGGTGGCATTCTAGGAGCCCTGATCACCAGTGCCCCTTACTCCTCCCAAGACTCAGCTCTTCATACCTGTCTGGTGTGGCCTCCCTTGTCCTCCACCTCTATTCCTGGGTCCTCCACCTTGTTGTCCATGCTCAGAGACCTGCCACACCCCAAGGCCACCTTGTGGCCTTGAACAGGATGTCCTGCTCCGTGGAAGCTTGCCCATGCCCTTTGCACAGAAGGGGTAGGGGACTAGATTCTGGAAGGGCCTCCTGGCAGCGAGGACAGTTTGACCTTGGAGAAGATGCCAGAGAGCCAGGGACCTGTGGAGACTTTGCTACTATTTGGTCACTGTCCTTGGGAACTGGCGGAGGCCGAGGGTCAGAAAACGTGAAGTTACCCAGGCCTGGATATGGAGACCCAGTTGCTAGAGAGACAGCCTGTGGGCTGGGGAACTGAGGCAGTCATCCATTTCACTGCCTGTGATGACCTTGTGCAATTGTTAGATGTGAATGCTCAGCCAAAGGAGCCTCCAGGGTCCCACTGGAACCCCGGCATGGCCTGTGACCTCTTTCAGATTATTACTGTGGCCTCAAAGTTCTGAGAGCTCTGTGCTGCAGTGGAGGCCCGAGAAGGGTAGGTTCAGGTGTCAGCCAGGTTGGACTGGTTAAGGACAGGCTAAGCTGCATCTCCATTTTCAGGGCCTCTGGCTGATGCCCAGAGCATCTCCTAGTGCTTGTGCTGACATGTACTTATAGAGAAACGACTGCTCTTGAAGGCAGGACCTGGTTGAAGGGGTGTGGTGGAACTCAGAGTCTGCCTCACCCAACCTTCTCAGCCAAGGGGTTTATGCACTGCTTGTGGCAGAGGAGAGGGGCACTGGCTGGAGGAACAAGACAGAGGGGCTGCTGTGTGCATGTGACAGTAGCCACAGCTGGGGTCTCCCTAAACTCCCTGTCCTGCTTTCCCAGACCAATGAGTGTGATACTGCACCTGGATTCTCCTCCTTGACTTTGTGGAAACCCACACACATGCAGCACATCCAGTCTCACACACACGTGCACAGACTTGTGTAAATGCTCATGTACAAGTGCATAAATGCACATGTGTCTGATCCTTCTCTTCCCCAGCCTAGCCACGTGCTCACCAGATGCACCATGTAACCCTGTGCCCCACTAAGGAAACTCCTGCTGTCTTGCTGTCCCTGTCCCCTGCAGTCAAAGGGACCTCCAGTGAAGCTCAGTTGGGTACTGATACCCCCTTGCCCTCAGAAATCTGCTCAGGCACCATTCTTCTAACACACTGACCCTTGGATCCTGACCCTGTCTTTGCTCCCTCTGCCTCAACTATAGGCTGGTTCTGTAGCCATGTCACCAGGACTGTAAAGCTGGGCTTGGGCCTGGTATGGGGACAAGGGAGTTCAATGAGAGAGCGCTGTGTGCCCCCTCATCTCTACCTGCTTTGGATTGAGAAGGCTGTGGAGGGTCTCACAAGAGGCACCAAGCAAGTGGAAGAAAAAGAATCCTCACTGCTGAGGGTAGGGGCAGAAGCTAGGTGTGGGCAGGTGGGAGCCAGTGCCACCTGCACCCATGACCTGGCACCTGTCCAGCCCTGCCCTGTGACTTGGCTAGATAGGTAGGACCAGACCATTATGTGGTACTCAAACTCATGTTTCCTGAGAGAGCCTTTGGGCCATCCTTCCCAAGGGCTAGGATACGGGCAGTTCACATCTACGGTGTTCTAGATACCAGGACACTGGAAACTGGCCAAGCTCTACTCTGCTTCCCCCTACAACTCCCTAGTGCGATGTGAGGACACATGCCCCACCACCACACACTTGGGAACTCCAGGCCTCTCAGAACCCATGTTTGGAGCACTTTGGATGGTGTTATGGGTCTGGGCTTCAGGGTAAAGCTGCCTGAAACTGACATGCCCCTTACTCAGTCCCCCTCACTGTGACCTCCATCATCCTTAGTATCCTGGCCAAAAATGGCACTCCCTCATCCCCCTCCTGGCTATCACTGGGGCCTGTCCCTCTGTTTTCCTCACAGGACACTCTTGGCCCCAGCCCCATCCCATGGAGAAGCCCTAGACCTGCCAGGAGGTCGTTCTGTGGGGATCACGTTGCTGCTAGCCTTGGCTCCTGCCCCTGCCTACTTGCCTGCTGGGAGCCTCTCACTGACAGGTGTCCAGGGAGGGAGTGGCCTATTCTGTGAAGGCTGGCTGGCTCCTGTGGGTGTTGGGATGGTGGCAGGTAATAACACTCTGGCTCTTCTGTGGACATGCGTGTCCATTTGTATGATGGAGCTGCTGCCTCGAGGAGATAGTCCTGATGCAGGCGGTATTCCTCATCTTGAGTTGGGGTCCCCTCTCCCTCCAGGAGCCAAGATGGCTCTTTGCGCTTATTCTCCAAGCCAAGCTGTGAGGCCTGCACAGTCTACTTGGTGCAGTAGATGCCACACCCCTGGGACTCAGAGCTGTAAGGTACCTTTTTCTGATGGGACCTGAAGGACCTGTACTTTCCAGCTCTGCACTGCTCCAGCCCAGGCTCCCAAAACCAGAGCTCTCTGTGGGACGCGAAGCAGAGAGGGCTCGGTGCTTTCATCTTGGCCTGTGTAGGCTGCTCTGGGGAGGTGGTGGGTTTCATGGTAGCCCTGCCTAAGGGCAGGGTGAACAGGATTGCATAGGCCTCCTCGTCATGATGAGTAGGCATTTGGTGGCTGCTGGACTGTGGGGGTTTTGGGAGTATAGAGGAGCAGTGATGGACTAGGCTGTATATTTCCATTGGTTTTGCCCACATTCCCTGGGGGCAAACCAGAGCTGACCCCTAGTTCTCCCAAGGACATTAGTGGGAGTTAACCTGAGATGGTCCTGCAATGTGGGGCTGCTTGTCAGACCCAGCTTGGGGATGAGGTCAAGCTGGGGCTGAGGCTGGGACAAATGGAATGTATTGATGCCAGTACCACTGCCAAGATAAGGCCAGCTGTGGGATCCTGGTTGCCTCCTCTCAGCTCTGTGAATGAGGAGGTTGGCCAGGGCAGGCAAGCTTTGAGGTACTGTGTCCAAGGTCACCCTGGAGGGTGTCTGGGGTTGGAACTGGCTGAGAATTTCAAGAAGTGGGGGACATGGGCAGTGCTGACCTTGTATGCTGGGAGGTGCCAGGATGAGACACTGGTGATACAGGTGTGGCTTTCTTTAGGACCACAGGACAGAGGGTGCACTTAGCTGGTCATATCATTCTCAACTGCTTCTCTTCCCTGCCAGGGTCACTTCTGCATCAGTGGCTCTGCTTTCCCTGACCCGCTCTTACCCCTTGCTGAAAGCATGGATGATTTCACCCATTTTACAGATGAACTCTCTGAGTCTCTGTGGGAAGGGCTTCCCCAGAGAGTGTCTAGGAATTAAGGCTTTTGGCTTTTCCTAGGAGGCAGATAGGAAGGATGCCAGAAGGGGATGCAGACCAACCTTGTGCCACTGGCCCTGTAGAGGGCTGCTCCATCCCCTGTGAGCAGGTGACTGGCATGTGCGGGGTCTGGTGGGGAAGGAGACTGGCCGTAACTTCCCTCCCTCCCCACTGCTCAGCTGTGGGTGGAACAGATGGTCTGGCCAAAGACTTAAAGATTATGGGGAAACTGAGGTCTGGAGGCAGAAACTTGCCAAGGTCCACAGAAAAGTGGGTCCAGGATGATCACTGCCCAGCTGGGTGAGCTCTGGGTGGTTCTGTGTGTCCTCACAAGTGCCTGGGGACAACCAGAGCCCTATCTTGGGGCTGAGGTGTCCCCCCACTGGTACCAGTTTAGGGTCAGTCTAGGGTTCAGGTCTGGGTCATATTTACTGTGGTCTTGGGAAGCCACTTATTCTCTGTGCCTGGGTTCTTCATCATGAAATAGGCTCACTGTGCATCCTCAAAGAGGTTGGGCTGATGCAAGGTGACTCAACTGCCCCTCTGTCCATCCCCAGGCCCTGTGCCAGGAACTGAAGGACAGGCAGGAAGGCAAGGAGGGGGCAGGAGCCACAGGGTCCAGCTTCAGGGGGCAGGCAATGGGCAGTGTCAGGTAGTCAAGGTGGGGCATTCCGTCTGAGCGTTTCACCTTCTCCTGCCCTAGGGTCTGCATCCACTCCCACTCAGGCCTGTGGACAGGACAGAGTGTCTGCTGGCACCTAGGAGAATGGCCAAATGACCTTTGTCTTCTATTCTGCCATCTGCTTCTCTGCAGACTTTTCCCAGGACAAAGGACAATAACTGAAGGAGAGAAGAGGACAAGGAGAGAGCAGAAAGGGCCTAGAAGAGCTGGCTTGCACCCTTAGGGAACTCATAAGGCAGTGAGCAGGTCCAGAGCCTAAGGGACCACATCAGGATGCTGGGCAGGTGGACATGACTGAGAGTCCTAGGTGGAATAGTCACTACTCCAGCTCAGGAGGGTGTGGACATCTGTTCCTGGATGGACATCTGTTCCTGCCAGTGGATAAATGAATGGAGGGTAACAGGCAGGTGGACAGAACAGGGGCCTTGGAGGGTTCAGGGCCATTTCTGCTGCCCAGATCACCCTGCCCTTGCCACCATCCTCCTCCAGCACCCAGCAGCATGGAGCTGGTGACCCTCAGAGTCTCATACCCTTTGCTTTTTCTTTTCCAGCTGCCACTAGGGGCCACAGGCAGGTGCCCTGGACATTAGGAGCCACTACTGCCTTCTCTGTTGCCTGAAGTCCTGCCCTATCTCCTTCCTTCCTCTGTTCCCTGCTCTCTGCCCCTTACCTCCTGCCCCTGGCCCTGCCCCTGGCACAACCCGCCTGCCGCCGGATCCTGGCATGTCAAGACCTGGCCTGTTCCTGCCTGCCCAGCCCGCGGAACCCCGGCGGCCCCGCGAGCTAGGATGAGGGGCCAGGCCGCCGCCCCGGGCCCCTTCTGGATCCTCACATCACTCCTACTCCTACTGCTGTGCCTGGGGCACTGGGCACGTGCTGCTATTGGGGCAGACACAGGGCCTGGGGCTGAGACGTGTGCCACGCTGGTGCAGGGCAAGTTCTTTGGCTACTTCTCGGCAGCTGCCGTGTTCCCAGACAACGCCTCACGCTGCTCCTGGACTCTGCGCAATCCTGACCCGCGGCGCTACACCCTGTATATGAAGGTGGCCAAGGCTCCCACACCCTGCAGCGGTCCTGGTCGTGTCCGCACCTACCAGTTCGACTCCTTCCTGGAGTCTACGCGCACCTACCTAGGTGTGGAGAGTTTCGACGAGGTGCTGCGGCTCTGTGACCCCACTGCACCCCTCGCCTTCCTGCAGGCCAGCAAGCAGTTCCTGCAAATGCAGCGACAGCAGCCACCTCAGGATGGAGACCTGGGTGTCCCAGGGGAGGCCCTAGGTCCCAGTGATGACTTTTCTGTGGAGTATCTGGTCGTGGGCAACCGAAACCCCAGCCGGGCTGCCTGCCAGATGCTGTGCCGCTGGCTGGATGCCTGTCTGGCTGGCAGCCGAAGCTCACACCCCTGTGGCATCATGCAAACCCCCTGTGCCTGCCTTGGTGGCGAGGCTGGAGACCCTGCCTCCAGTCCCTTAGTCCCCCGTGGTGATGTCTGCTTGAGGGACGGTGTGGCCGGCAGCCCTGAGAACTGCCTCACCAGCCTGACCCAGGATCGTGGTGGGCACAGCGCAGCAGGTAAGTGACAGCCTAAGAAAAACTCAGAGGTGGCCTCCAGGCAAAGGTGCAAGACCCAGAAGAGTGTCTTCAGGGCTGGGTCTGGCCAGCAGCCACATTCTTCTGGGAGGCCCTTGTATACTGCCAAAAGTCTCTGCTGGCACACCGAGGGCATGAAGTTGGCCCATATGGGGTCCAGTGCAGTAGGCACTCACTCTGAGAGGTTTCTTCCAGAGAAAGGGTTTAAATTCGCAGCTGTGAGAGGGCAGGAAGGACAATTCCAATGGGCCCAAGGTAGCCGTGGCTGGTGGCTGGAATCTGCAGGGGCATCTTGGCATGGATGCATGGGCTTCTTGAGCTGTAAGGACAGTGTGGCCAGGTGGGCTTTTGTGATCTTCTAGGAGTGAGGTTTTGTCTGGAGAGTAGCTTTACTCACAGCTAGTTACTCTGTGGACACAGTACACCATCTAAGCACAGGAGAACATCACAAACTGACCCCTTTCCCCAGCAGGGAAGAAAGCAGGGACAAGGGTGTGGGAAGACTCACTTCAAGCCAGGCTCTTAGAGGGGCTGCTGTCTCACTCACAGTCAGGAAGGCATGTGAACTGGGACCTTGTCTGGCATTCTAGGTGGTATGAGGGACATTGTATCCCAGGTAGAGAGATCACAGGGGCCCAGGCCTGAGGTGGGCAGGTGCTTGGTGCATCCAGAGTAAAGAGAGCTCAGGCCATTTCCAGGGTGTTGAACTGTGGAGCATTGGGGTCTTCTTGGTGTGACAGGGCCTACACAGTGATGATGAGTGATGGGTGCGATGAGAAAAGATAGCTGGTCAGTCCTATACACAGGAGGCAGTGTCCCTGCTGTCCTATGACTGTAGGAAAGAGAGGCAGGGCATCCCAGATGTGGATGAGAGGCTTGGGGGTCTGGCTGGGTAGGGGTGGGGCTCATATCTGAGAGACAAATAGGAGATGACTACAGGAGATGACTACAAGGCTGGTGAGGGCAGCCCTTAGTCTCTTGAGGCCATAAGACCTGTGGGCCCCTCTCAGAACATATCTCTTTAGATAGGCTACATGGTCGTAAAGGAAACTAGAGTCCTGGTACCCAGTTCTGTTCACAGCCCCAGGTGATGGATCCATGAGTTTGGCCAGGCAGGAGACAGCAATGGTTGAGGGCGGAGGATAAAACTGAACCAGCAACTCCCCAAGGGCTGGGGCACAGGAAACCAACCGGGAATCCTGGGCAAGATGAGTGGTGTCAGGTGCCACCAGTGGCAGGGAAGGAGAAGCTGAGGACTGGCAGGTCAGGCTGGAGGTCACTGTGACTTTGGCAAGGGCCGCTTCTGTAGTGTGGCAGTTAGTGAGAGTGGGTCCACGGGGGACTCAGGGAGAATGGAGTAGCATGTGGCGTTCCCTTTGGGGAGCAGTGTGAGGCAGTGGCTGGTCTGGGGATAGAAGAACACAGGAGGAAGGGCTTTCAGTCCCAGGCAGGTATGGATTGTGTCTCTACTACCTGATAATTCAACTTCTCTGACCTGTGACTCCTTCATCTGCCAACCTCAGACTTCAACCTCAGATCAGGGCACCGCTGATCTGATACAGTGGCTCTCACCAGGCCCAGATCACACCCATGGGCCTGCGTCTCAGGTAGTGGCTGTGCTCAGGCTCTCACGGAGGGCCTCACACTTTCCTAAGTACTACTCTGGGCAGGCCCCATGGCAGGAGCTGTGGATATAATAGCCTTGGCCCCACATGGAGTTTGCAGCTGCTCTTGAGAAGGAGAGAATCTTGGGAAGGCTTACAGCAGAGGAGTGGCTTGTCTGGGCTGTGCAAGGCATGGGTATAGGGAGAAGTGCTGATGATGGCCTGGAGGGCAGAAAGAGAACAGCCTTGGGAGGGAGCACTGATGACCTTGTGGACAAAAAGATGTAAGCCCAGAGGCAGGAGAAGGCAAGATTGCTCCCAAGATTCTGGTCTGGGTGTGCACTGCTGAGGTGGGCAAGTAGGGTGGGAGGCACAGTGCAGAGGAAGGACCATAGCTCACAGTGAGTCTTGGGCAGGGGGTGTCATGTGAGCAGAGCTGTGGCACTGGGAACACTAGGACAAGGCCAGGCTGGGGCAATGGCATTTGAGCCTTACTTTGGAGATCCAGGGTGAGGATTCAAATCTCAGCCAGACCTGAATCACAGTGTATTCCTGGGCCGATCCCCTCCACTCCATCAGCTTGGGTTCATCTTCAAAGCAGGAGTAAAAGTACCTTCTTTCCTAGACTGCCATAGGAAGTGGGAACGGGGTGGAGTGCTTCGAGGCAGAAGCAATGCGGATGGTGAAATACCAGTGTCCTTGCTGGAGATTAGGCATGAGACTCTGGAAGACCTGGGGGCAAGGCTGATTGGAGGCAGAGATACTGGGGAACCAGTTTGAGGTGTACATATGGAGTTGGAGAAGGAATTCTGGAAAGTAGTGCTCAGAAGCAAGAAGGACCATGTGTGTATGTGTACATTTATCTGTGTGTACGTGTGTATGTGTGCAGTGCACTGTGCTTGCGTGCATATATGCAGTGCACAGTGTATATGTGTGTTCATGCATGTTATATGTGTTTATGTGTGTGCTATGTGCATGTACATGTGGCATGTGTGTGCAGTGCTTTGTGCATATGTGCATTATGTGAGCCCATATGTGTGAATGTATACTTTATATGTTGGTGCTTGTGTAGTGCTTTGTGTTCATGTGTGTGTATACACCACAAGTTGTACATGTACATAGTATACATATGGGTATATGTATGTGTACATGCTTGCATATGTGTATTGTGCATATACATATGCACGTGTGTAGGTGCAAATTAGTTTGTGTGATGCATAGTGCATGTGCTTGTGTGCTCATGGTTGCATGAGAATGGGTGTGTGTGTGTGTGTGTGTGTGTGTGTGTGTACCAAGGATGGGGTCTATGCAATTGTCGAACGAAGCACAATGCAGAACTATACTGCGGTGACTAGACTCTTGTGAAAGAAAGTCCAGGGAGTAGATGGATCAGGATAGTGGCAACATGAAGCAGGCACCACGAAGCAGGGCAGTGGCAACAAGAACATGTGGGTGAGGTGGAACATGGCCACTCAGCTTGGACCCTGGTTCCTATGTCCTGCATCCAGAAGACCCTGATTCTTCTGGAAAAATGAGCTTAGTATCACAGCAGTCACTTAGTGGGTGCTTGCTTTGAGTTCGAAGCATCCACAGCTTAATTAGCTTACTCTTCACGGCAGTCCATGAGATAGGCTCCCCATCAAGGGTCCTGTCTCAGGGCCTTTTCACAGACTGTTCCCTCTACCTGAACTGCTCTCCCTCAGATACCTACAGGGCACCTCCTGCTTCTAGACTTTGCTCAGAGGTGGCTTTCCCAGCTGCATCCCTATCCTTTCTCCTGTTTCTGTACTACCTGTCCCTGTGACCACACTGAGAATTCCTGCCCATGTTGTGCCTGCTACTGGTTGGCAGTGCTGAGGTGTGCATCCAGGAAAGTCCTGTGCCCATTCACTGTCCTCGCCCAGGGAGGCAGCAGCTGTCATGCTGCACACACTTGGTTGGTAGTGGAGCAGAGAGGTCAGGTTGCTTTGTGGACAGCATACTGTGAGCCAGGACAGGTAACAGATCCCTGCTGACCCCACTCAGCAAGACCTGGTGGCTGAAAAGAATAGGGCTAGCAGGTGGCTGGGCAAACCTGTGGCCCCTTTTTAGCCCTATTCCCCCAACCCAGGCCAGCCACATATCACATAGCCATTCGCAGGGATATCCACAAATATCCCTCAAGATGGAGCAACTGTCCCTTTGCTCCTTCCCTTTGTGACTGCCGGACCCTGGTGCCTACCATCTTTATCTCTCTGTCTCTCTATGTACTCTGTCTCCTGTCTCTCCATCTGTATCCCCATCATTCTGTCTCTTCATCTCTCCATCTCACTGTCTCTCCTCTCTCATCTCCCTGTCTCCCCATCTCTTCATCACTCCATCTCCTTTTCCCAGCATCTTTCTGCTGCTGGTAAGATGGGCCATTTCTCTCAAGGGTGGTTTTAAATATTCATGTTTTAATTAAAGAATTTTATTGCAGAGGCGACATGTAAGATAATGAAAAAGCAACATCCTGGGAGTGGGAGTGTGTGTGTTCCTGTGTGTATGCCCCCCTGTGTGGGACCTTATGTCTTCCTGTGGAGGGTTATACTGGGCTTCAGCCCATATGAGGGACTATGCCTGACCTGCAGAACCGGGGCTGGCCTTCCCCTCCACCTGCTTCCGGTGTTGGCCATCCTCAGCCCTGGGCTTGCCTGGTTGGTGACACCCCTCCCTGAAGCCTCCTTGAGGCTCAGCTCATTCCCCCAGGAGCCCACCAAGCCCAGAAGGGAAGTTTATGAGGCTGGCATGCACTTGGGGGTGGAGAGTTGGCACGCACTTGGGGGTGGAAAGCTCAGGCTAAGGGGTGTGTAGGAGAGGGTGCCAAGCCGCTAAGGTCAAGGATGCTGGGTATCATCCTGCCCAGGCAAACCACTATTTTTGCATAAGGGTCAATTTGAAAAATCCCATGAAACAATGCTTCAGTGTCTATCAGGAATAGTGCTTGGTGTGATTGGATAGCAGTATGGGACCCCAAGTACATGAATGCCATCATACACTAGAAACTCCCATGTGTGTGCCCTTCCCATGTCACCTGCTTCAGTTTGGAGGCCAGACCTCAGTCCTCCCTGCCCCACTGCTATGGGACTGGCTGAGATATGGTCTGAACTGGGTTCTGATTCCCTGGAAGAAATGGAAAAGTGACATCCTGTGGGCAGCTGGCAGCCTCTGCCACTCCATCAGGCAGTTGAGGCCTGGGAGGGGCAGTGAGGTACCCGGGTCTCCAAGATGGCCTGAGTTTCTGGGCTTGTTCCCAGAGCATTTTGCTCAGGACGGGAAGCACCTGTCAGGCACAGAGACATGGCTGCTGCAAATGTGGCAGCTCATGAACCTATTTCCCTTCTGTGGTTGGGGATGGGTCAAGGTCTGTTGGTAGGGCCTGTTTAAAGCATGGAGACAGTGCCTCCAGCAGGCTAAGGGAGACCGGTGCTCCCAGAGGGGCTGCCAGCCCCATGGAGAGTGGGCTAAGTCAGACCACTGTTTGTGGGTTGGGTGAGGCAGGGTCTGCAGGAAGCCATGCTGCCTGCTTGATGTGTTTCTCTGCTCTGGATCCAGGCTGTAAGCCTCGGCTCCACAGTCCAGGTTTAGAGTCTGGGTTCCCCCACACAGCCCCAGCTTGGTGTCAGGGGAGATGGGCCCTGCTGGGAACTGGATGGGAGTCCCTACCATGCAATGAGTCCCTGGGGCAGAGGTGATAGCCCGCGGAAGCTGACTAGCAGCCCAGAGACTGCCCAACCTGCTGGACTTGGGAGCCCTCTGCTGGAGGAGTTTGGGAGTACACAGTTCCTCTCCAGAGGACCTCTGAAACTAGAAGGTTGGCCAGGATAAGGGATGCCCTTGGTGCCCCAGCCCTGCCCACTTGGGGTGCAAGATTTGGGAAACCCACCATTTCTAGCCAGGGCACCAGGATAGGAAGGATGCAGAGCCCTCTTCCAGTTCACCCTGGCTCCTGGGTGGCCATCCTGCTGGGGCGGCTGATAATTGGCTCTATTCATCCCCATAATGAGATGGAAATGAGGCTCCCAGACAGAGGGGGCATTGAGTGGGGGAAGAATGGCGGCTTCTTTCCTGGCCTGGAGGGGCAGCCCACCCCCTTCCCCCAGCCCTGTGGCTCCTCCGCTGCCCCCTGGTGGCCCAGCCAGCCCTAAAGTACCACTGTGCTTTCCACAGTGGGCCTGGGCATCCTTCTGAGTAACTTCCCCTCTGGCATGGATGTATTCATTCGGCAGACATTTACCAAGTACCAGCTGTGTGTGAGGGCACACATTAAAATTGAAAATGATAATAAAAATAGCTGCTACCATTTTCTGAGCCTTCATTAGTGGAGGGAGCATAGCCAAGGTTGGGGATCCTATTGTGACTGGAATCAGAGCTCAATACGTGATGGAGCTCAAGGGTCCTACGCCTAGGATCAGAAGTCAGTCTGATGAGGATCAAGGTTCAGCATGTGACCAGGGACAAGAGTCTGTATGACCAGACTCACAGCTCAGTTTACAGCCAAGACCAGGGCTTAATGTGTGACCAGAACCAAGGCTCAGCCTATGGCCTGAATCAGAGCTCAGAGTGATGGGAGTCAGGGATGAGCTTGAGGAGGCTCCGTCTTCTGAGCTGCTGTCCGCTCTCCACTGTCTCTCCTGAGCCAGTGTCCCCTCTTTCTGCCTTCCTCTTCCCTCCCCCTCCCACATCCTCACCACCTGGGTCACCAAGGTAACCAGCCCTGAAATAGTGGGTGTTTTGGCAGCTGAGGCCTAACCTGGGTCTATCCTGAAAGGCTGCACTCTGCAGCAGTTGCCATGGGAACTGAGTGGCATCCTCCGATTAGCTGGGCTTGGACACCCTCTCTTTCCCGCCCACTGCCATTTCCTCATCACTCAGGCTTCCTTGTGAGGGTAAGACAGGGATGGGGGACCAGCAGGATGTGCCACCCTGACCCCTATGCCATGTCTGCCTCCCTGGACTCTGTTCCTTTATCCGGAACCCTAGGTCAGGGAGGGCTGTGGCAGATGAGGCCCCTGAGGCTGGGAGGGTCTGGACCTTGGTTAGTCCTGGCAGGTGGATTAGGTTGGGGCATGTAAGGGTATGTGGAACCTGACCTAGTTCGATATTTGGGATCTGACCTGGTTTGATTGCAATTCCTTTTGTCCTGAGCCAAGGCATGTGACAAACAGCCCCTGAGCTGATCACCTGGACCTGCTCTACGGGCAGCTGCTGCCCTGTCCTGCTGGTTGTGCATGTGCAGACCATGATCGAGACTGTCACTGTCAACCCCTAGCTCTGTCCTAAGGGAGTCATGTCAATCTGCTCCCCTCTCCTGTGCCCTCATTCCCCTCTGAGGCCCTTCCACTACATTCATAGCTGAAGATGATGTGATATTTATACCGTACCTCCACATTTATCGCTTTCTCAGAACCTGAGATTCTGATCTCCTCCTCAGCACCTCCCCATTGCTAACTCTCCTGTCCTGAGGGCATCATCACTGTCACCCAGGCTCTGCTAAGATCCCCTTAGTTTTCTCCACTGCAAGCAGGTGAAGGGATTGAGTTACAAGGGTGCTGAGGTCTCATGCACAAATCAGGGCCCACAGCGCCAGGGCCAGGGTGCCTCTGGAGAGCCACTGTGGGAGGAGGAAACAACCTTCCCTGGAGAGCGTGAGCTGGGGCCCAACAGTTGGGCAGTTTCTGCCCTTCCTTCCAGTTGAGGGACACAGCAGCTGTTTACCTCAGCAGCCTGTTTTCTCCTCTGGATTCTCGGGGCAGAGAGGTCTCCTTGTGAAACTAGGGACACGTGTCCAGACTGGGAGTGGCTCATAACCACTGCTTGCTGCTCTGTGCCTTGGCTGTGTTCCACCAAGCCGATATGGGGTCTGGTGCATGGCACACAGGAAGCCTGGCCTTTGTGGACCCTTGCCCTAGTGCTTTTTCTCTCTCTTGATCCCATGGAGCTGTGGCTCTCTGAGAGAAAAAAAGTAGCTTCTAAAACAGGCATGGAGATATGGAAGATGCCACTTCCCATCTTGTCCATCCCAGCAAGGAGAATGAGCTCCTATTTGTAAGGGTGATTCCTTCCCCTTGAATCTGGTCACTTGCCCTTGGCGCCCCCTGCTGGCCAATATGAGCTGCAGTGCCAGGAAGTGGCAGAGCCCTAGCTGTCTCCAGTGTTGAGTGCGCAGACCATTCAGAGTACTGGTCAAAAAATCCAAAGGGTCATATCCCTTCTAAGCTCCTTTGGCTATTTATTCTTCTTCTGATCAGTCCTGGGAAGTCTTCTGCTATTTTGAGCAAGTTATGGGTGTGAGGCCAGAGAGACAAACATAGGACCATCCAGGATGTGGACTGTCCCCCTCCCCAGCTGCCTAGGATCACAAACCATGATCTTCTCCCCTAAAAACTACATTTAAGACTCATCACTGAGGCCTCTGCCCAGCAGGAGTAGTCTGCCCTTGGCCATCTGGTTCTTGGTCGCTGGGAGGATCTCATTTGTTCTCTGGGTCTTGAGATCCTCAGCAGTGTGAGGCTGTGGCCTCAGCTGAATAGGAATCCCAGTGCCAGGGGTATGGCAGTGCTATCCTGTTTCCTTACCTCCTCCTAACCAGCGCAAGGTCAGGGTGCCCTTCCCAGAGATGCCTCATGTCTAGGCTTGAGCCCAGTCTGGAATAAGCAGTTGGGGGGATCCCCACTCCAACCCTGCCCCTGCTTCTCTGGGTGAATGTGGCTGGGCATTCTCAAGGGATAGAGAGATGATGAGGTCAAAGGCTATGTGACGTGAGGCACTGGCAGGAGATCTGAACAAGCAGCCCCTTTGGCTGATGCAGTCCCACATTGACTGATGGACACAGCCTTCCTACCAGTGACCTAGCCATGGGAACTCCATCTACACTGTCTTGCATTCCTAGAGGCCACCAGAAGCCCAGACCCTCAGGGGCAGTGGGTTTGGTTTGCAAGGGCAACACTGGCCCCTGCAAAGGTCAACATGGAGGAAGACCCTTGAGAGACACTGAGAAAAAGGACTGGAAGGGGTCTGGCAACCTCTGTTCCAGGCTATTTTGAAAGGTGGTCAGCTCTCTGCAGGAACTCAGGGAGGTTCTGCCAAACCAGGCAACCAGCTATGAGGCCTGGTGGGATCTTCGAGGTGGGGTGTGTGATTCATAGGCCACATCTGGAGATGAGGATGTGCAAAGCCACCTCTCCCATGCTGTGTAGATGAGGATAGAGGCTGGAAGGAGCAGGGCCTGAGCCCTGGAAGAGGGGTATAGGGTGAAGGATCTGAGGACTTAGCTACACAGCCGCTCTACACTTGATTGGTCATGAGTATCTTGGGGACCAGATTTGCCCACCTCACCCTGGTGTCTCCCACCTCAGGGCAGACCTGTGTCCTCTTAGAGGATGCCTGGGAGCTAGGTGGCACAGGGTCCCCCAGGCCTTGGCCAACTCACCAACCCACCACTCATCCAACCCCAGCCCCTTTTTAGCCCCCCACCTAACCCCACCCTGTGATGTCCCTCAGGCGGCTGGAAGCTGTGGTCCCTGTGGGGCGAGTGCACGAGAGACTGCGGAGGAGGCCTACAGACCAGGACGCGCACTTGCCTGCCCACCCCGGGCCTTGAGGGCAGCGGCTGTGAGGGGGTCCTGGAGGAGGGACGCCTGTGCAACCGCAAGGCCTGTGGCCGTGAGTGCACAAAGGGGCAACTAGCATGGGGGTGCTGGGGGCTTCAAAGTGCAGGTGCATGTGGGGAAAGGGCCTGTCTGGAGAAAGGGCCAGGATGGGAAGGGAGTGCAGGGTGAATCTTAGCCAAGTGTGGGATGAAACCTGACCTTTACCCGGCCAAGTGGAGTACAGGTGAAGACCTAGCTGGAGGTGGGGACTTGAATCTAAGGGGGATAGATGAAATTTAGCTGTGAGTTGGAATTTTAGGGTGCATGCAGAAGCCAGTGCTGGCTATGGTGCATGTGCCCTCTTCCCTTACCTAGGAAGCCCTGGCCAGGCCAGCCCATCTAGATCAGGCCTCCAGAATGTATTTCTTTAATAAGGCTCTTTAATGACCTCATGCATTTTTTAGTTACCTCCATAAAGCTAAATCAAGTTCTAATGAGGCTGTCAGATTCTTTGGGTTGTTTTTTCCTTGATGAACTCTCATGGGGCAACAGCTCATCTCAGGAGCCCAGGGAGACCCCTGGGCATCCAGCAGGGGCAGGGGCAGAGGAGCTGTCCTGCAGGTGACCACTGGTCTGCCAGCCCTGGAGGCTGAGAGGGAGGGCTTCTGGGCAGGAAATACAGGACCCACAAGAAGGGACCCGTGGTGACCAGGCCTGGTGCTCTGGGCCTGGTTTCCCAGCTGTCCAGTGGTGGCCAAGGACAGAGGAGGCCCCTGCAGGATGCTGACCTGAGCCCATCCTGCAGCCGCTGGGCGCACCAGCTCCCGGAGCCAGTCCCTGCGGTCCACAGATGCCCGGCGGCGTGAGGAGCTGGGGGACGACCTGCAGCACTTTGGGTTTCCATCCCCCCAGACTGGTGAGCTGCTGGTGTGGGCAGAACTAGCGTGCACACAGACTCAGATACTGAGCAAGGGAGGGCTGGCTTCCTGGACTGGGTCTGTGGGTAAATACTCTTAAATTAGTAATTGCTGCTAATTATAAATAATAGCTTTAATGACTTGCCAAAATGAGACTAACTACTTAGGTACAGTGCCTGACTCTAGTCTCCACGCAGACCGGCTTTAGGGATACTAAAGGGGGTAGTGTAGTCAGGGACAGATCTTGGGGACCAGAAGTGGCCCAGGCCTGTGCAGTAGAGTAATGCACGGACCTCAAGACCAGCTGGAGTTCCAGCCTACCTGCTACCCGCCCCGCAGAATGGCCCCCTCCATACCCTTCTCCAAGTTGTAGTGCAGTCCTGTTGATGGTCCACAAGGGTCCTGGTCTTAAAGATCTCTGTTTCCACAGGTGACCCGGCGGCTGAGGAGTGGTCGCCATGGAGCGTGTGCTCCAGCACCTGTGGCGAAGGCTGGCAAACTCGCACACGCTTCTGCGTGTCGTCCTCGTATAGCACGCAGTGCAGCGGCCCACTGCGCGAGCAGAGGCTGTGCAACAACTCTGCTGTGTGCCCAGGTGGGGCCCGTGGAGCCGAGGCAGGGTGGGCTGGGGGGTGAGGTTGGGGCTGGGGGTGGGGTGGCAGGACCTCAACTGGGCCCAGCAAGCAGCAGCGACTGTCCTCTCCTCTTAGTGCATGGTGCATGGGATGAGTGGTCGCCTTGGAGTCTCTGCTCCAGCACGTGTGGCCGCGGCTTTCGGGACCGCACACGTACCTGCAGGCCCCCCCAGTTCGGAGGCAACCCCTGTGAAGGTCCAGAGAAGCAAACCAAATTCTGCAACATTGCCCTGTGCCCTGGTAAGTGAGAGGGAGCAGCTGGGGAGAGTGGCCCGATTCTGCCTACCGAATCACCTCAGGGTGCTCTGAGGTTGGATCCTCAGGCTGTATGCAGTTGGGAGATGGAGAAGTGCCTGGCATTCTCACCTACCTCCCGGGTGGGGTGTGGGGTGATGGCCAGTGGGGTGTTCACATGGTATCATAGGCTGGCTGTGGAGTACTGGGTGTTCACCCTGGCTTCTTGTCCCCTTCCTCCGGGCCGGGCAGTGGACGGAAACTGGAATGAGTGGTCGAGCTGGAGCACCTGCTCTGCCAGCTGTGCCCAGGGCCGGCAGCAGCGCACGAGGGAGTGCAACGGGCCTTCCTATGGGGGTGCTGAGTGCCAGGGCCACTGGGTGGAGACTCGAGACTGTTTCCTGCAGCAGTGCCCAGGTCAGGCAAGCCCGTCCTGGGGGTGGTTGTGGCCCTGCATGTGATCTGGGGTCTTAGGTGTGGGCCAAGTGGAATTGGGGTGCATGGTACCTGTGGAGGGCAGGGGGCTCTGTATGATGGCTCACTTTATTTTGTCAAGCTGACCTCAGGTTTCTCTTCCCTGTCTCAATTTTTTTCTCCTGGTGGCTCACACCTCTGCATCCCTGGGTCCCTGGGTCCCTTTGTCCATATCCTTGTGTCCCGTGAGTTCCTATCCCTTTGTGTCCCCATGGCCTAGTGTACCTTTGCTGCTTCAATACCCCACCCTAACATCCCCATCACCTGTTGCTCTGTGTCTGACTACCCCCTGCAGTGGACGGCAAATGGCAGGCCTGGGCATCATGGGGCAGCTGCAGTGTCACATGCGGGGGTGGCAGCCAGCGCCGAGAGCGAGTCTGCTCTGGGCCCTTCTTCGGGGGAGCAGCCTGCCAGGGCCCACAGGACGAGTACCGACAGTGCAGCACCCAGCGGTGTCCTGGTGAGACCCTCCCCATGCTGTGGCTGGCCCTGAGAAGAACCCGGGAGCAGCCAGTGTCTCTGGCTCAGTTGGGACAGTGGACATCCTGTTCCAGCTCCCAGCCCTTTCCAAAACTCCTGCCCTTGTTTCTGGTCCCTTGGTAGAGCCCCATGAGATCTGTGATGAGGACAACTTTGGGGCTGTGGTGTGGAAAGAGACACCAGCAGGAGAGGTGGCTGCAGTCCGGTGTCCTCGAAATGCCACAGGTGAGGCCAGACAGCAGGTACTGTGCAGGTTCCTGTCCTGTCTTCATAGAGAAGCCCCTGCAGGCACCCTCTGAGACCAGGGACTTAGACATCCCCATTTCCACCACTGGAGAAACTGAGGCACAGTGGAGTCAGCACACTTTGTCTGGGCCTGCAGGGCTAGCAGGGTAGAAGTTCCTTTTGAATGACGGTAGCTAAATCCTCACACCAGCCCTAGGAAGCCCCTGGAGAGTTGCTAGAGGGGTGGAAGAGCAAAGTGGGCAACAGGGAAAGGACTTGTCTGCACCCCAGTACTGGTCTTCTCCACTGCTCCTGTTTGAAGAAAGGAAGATGACTTCCAGACTGCCCAGAGAGGCAGCAAGCAGCTTCGTCCTTTGCTCTATGACATTCTAGAAATGACTTATCCTCTCTGAGCTTCACTTTTCCCATCTGTAAAATGAGGGTCTTAGGAGATCCTCCACATGGGCTGTTGGGATTGGTTGGGGTGGCCTGTGGTGGGCAAGGATGGCAGTGGGTGCGGGGTACTCCCAGCCATGCTTGGTGCTCCCACCTTCCTTTTCTTGTGTTATTGCTGGCATATTGCAAATCCACAGAAGCAGAATGAAAAAAATAAGTATTACTTGCCAATATGCCACCCCATGGGCAACTCCAGTGTCACTCCCCATCTAAATCAGTGCTCAGAGATTCTGTATCAGGCTGTCCTATGCTCCTGTTGGGTAACAAAGCTATGATAGTTCTATGTGGTTGTCACCTGCATATGCACTTAGATGTCCTGGTTATTTGGGGTGTCCTGAGGGTGCTTTCTGTCAAGGCTTGTTTCCCAGCTGGTGATCCCTGCAACCCTCTGGGCACAGCAGGGCACCAGACTGGCTGTTCCCAAGACTCTGGCTGAATCCCAGTGCCCCCACTTGGTCAAGGATTCCATTCCAGGCAGTAGGATCACCACAGTCCTGGTGCCTGCTGGTCCCCAGCACCTGGAGCAAGTGCTCAGCATGCCTCAGAAATGTGCAGCTTCCAGGAGCAAGGCCAGAAGGCCCAGGCAGAGTGGCTTTTGTGGGAGCTGTGTGGGGACTCCTGTGCCTGGCAGTGAGCATCCACCTGAGACGTGGGAGGTCTCCCCAGGCCTCATCCTGCGGCGCTGTGAGCTGGACGAGGAGGGCATCGCCTTCTGGGAGCCCCCCACCTACATCCGCTGTGTCTCCATTGACTACCGAAACATCCAGATGATGGTGAGGGTGGCCCCTCCCCATGCCACATCTACTCCATGGACTTGAGGAGGGGGAGGCCACAAAGGGCCCTCTGGATGGAGTAGGTCCCTAGCTCCTGCTTGAAAGCCCTGCAGGGTGACCTATCTAGCCCTTTCCATCCTCCTCAGACCCGGGAGCACCTGGCCAAAGCTCAACGTGGACTTCCAGGAGAGGGGGTCTCAGAGGTCATACAGACCCTGGTGGAGATCTCTCAAGATGGGACCAGCTACAGTGGGGACCTGCTCTCCACCATTGATGTCCTGAGGAATATGACTGAGATCTTCCGGAGGGCCTACTATAGCCCCACCCCAGGGGACGTGCAGGTGGGCTCCCTGAAGGACAGCTGTGGAGAAGAATGCTTTGGAGGGTGGTTAGGGGCCATTATGCCCCTTGGTCAGAGCCCCAGCCTTGGCCATGGGTCTAACTGAGCCTCAGGCTGAGCCCTGATTGTGATTACTCACTGACTCCTCATACCTGTTACACATAGCCTTGACCCTTGTCAGGGAAGAACCATGATCCTAATCATGCGCTGATATCATGTTCTCCTTCACTGGGTCTTATTTCTAGAACTTTGTCCAGATCATCAGCAACCTGCTGGCAGAGGAGAATCGGGAGAAGTGGGAGGAGGCCCAGCTGGTATGGACAGGAACCTGGGGCCCTTGTGATTGGGGCCCCCTGAGTCCCAGACCAACATGTAGAGGGGGCCTTGATGGCCAGGCTGGGTGGCTCTAGGTCTGCATCCCACCATAGTCTCTTGCCAGTTGGATGACCTTGAGGAAGCTGCTTAGCCTTGAGCCTCCATTTTTCCTCTGTAGAAGCATAATATCTTGTCCTGTGGGGTTTAGTGAGGGGAGGGGAGTGAGAAATGGTTGACCTCATGGTGGATGTCCAGAGGACCGGGCCATGGCAGATCACCCTCCCTTCTTTATAGGCTGACTTTGAAGCTGTGGTCCCCAGGGCAGTTGGCTACCCTGAGCAGCTCTGAGGAACCCCCAGAAGCACTAATGGGGCCTAGATATAGCCGCAGGCCTTGTGACCTACCCATGCTGGAGACAGCTCTAGAGGTCACCAGCCCTGCTTCCTTATGGTACAGAAAACAGGGTCCTCGGCCTGAGTGCAGACACCACTTGTAGCTCTAGGCTTCTTCCCCTCCCCCAGATGGGCCCCAATGCCAAGGAGCTCTTCCGGCTGGTGGAGGATTTTGTGGATGTCATTGGCTTCCGCATGAAGGACCTGAGGGATGCGTACCAGGTGACAGACAACTTAGGTAAGCCCTTGGTAAGGCCTTCTCTCCCCAGTGGCCTCTGTGCCTGCCCTACAGCCCTGAGTGGGGCCCCTGCCTCAGTTTCCCCAATTATACAAGAGCAGTGACTGAACTCCTATGGACCCTCTTAGACTAGTGTCTAAGGTCAGCTCTAGATTTCTCTTGTCTCCATGGTGGGAACCCCAGGAAAGGATAAGACTTGAAAAGGGCCTGGAGATCTTGTGTTGGGGGTGCCTCCATGACCATCCCTAAGCCACCTCTCTGCCTGCACCCTTGGGACCCGGGATTCCTTGTCCCTGTCACTTCAGCACTCTGTGCATCCAGCTACTTCTGCTTTCCAATCCTGGAAGCCCCTCATCAAGTGCCCTGCACCTCCTCTAGCTTATGGCATCAGCTGAGCCTCGGTTCCTTCATTTGTGAAATGGGACACAGCTGTGTTGCCTGATGGAGCTGTGGAGAGTGACAGATGAGGTAGACTCAAACCTGAGGTGGGAGGTGAATGGTGGCTGTCCTTACTGGTGTCCACTATCAGTCTGTTTCACATTCAGCACCACGGTGCTCTCAAATTCCTCTCACAGACCACTTTCCCCAAGCCTCCCCATGGAGAAACCTGATAGTGGGTAATTACCCCAGCTATGACCCAAAAAGCACGAAGGAGGGAAATTTTCCCCTTCCTAGTGGGAAGATGTGGTTTCCAAGGAAGTGACTGAGCCTGGCCAAACTTCATTAGCACATGTGCCATTGGGTGCCTTCCAGCTCCCATGCTAAATGTCCCTTCATGTGGTAGCAGAAAGAGCTATCCTGCACCAGACAAATGTTCCCACACTTTCTAAGCTGAGGCCCTGTGCTGGCCCTGCTTTTCACCCCAGGGGCTCAGGGGCTCAGTGCTCCATCAGTTATAGTACCTCCGAGACCAGTGGGCCCAGCCATCATTTCACAGAAACAGCCAAGCTGGGTGCTATGGAGGACCCTGGTTGGTTTCCCTCTCAGGCCCCTTTTTCCCGAGAGAGTTATAGGTGCCCAGACAAAAGGGATGTGGTGCTGCTATGCAGGGACGAGTTTGGGATGGGACTCAGTCTTACTGGCCCAGTACCTCACAGTCCTGGAGGAGCCCTAACCTGCCTTCAGGAGCCCCAGGTCTACCACTACTCAGGGCCACCTGCTGTCACCACAGGCCCTGGGCTCCTCTAGCCATCTTTATGTCCTGCACTCTATTCACCAATGAACCCCACACCTGCTGTGCACCCTGAGAACCCCAAAGACTTCACTTGCTCTGACACAACCATGCAGCCCATGCATCTATGCAGTCCTTCCATTCCTCATGCTCCATGATCTCAAATTCCTGCAACTTCTGTACTCCAGTTACCTCATCCCCACATGCACCCCACACCCCCAGTCACCCACCCAGTTCTGTCCTTCCCTGGTTTAAGCCATTGGGAATCCTCTATGCCTTAGCAGCAGACTCCTCCTTGGCCCTGACCACCCCTTGACGCCAGAACCCTAAGATCCACAGTCCTTTGAAACTAAGCTGCCTGCCTCCTGTGCCCTGGGCTCCTGGGCTAGGTCCTTGTTCCTCCTCTGTGTCCTTCTGAGGTCATTCCCGTCACCAGCTTGGAAGTGAGATGCTCAAGACCCCCCTCCCCCTGACACACACGCTGCCCTTCATCCAGGTCTTTCTGGGTCCCGGGAAAATGAGCTTCTCATCAGCACTTTTTATCAGGGTAGGGAACCTGCACATGTGTATCCCTTGCACTGTCCCTTCTGTCCCCTGAGAACCTTGATCCCTTGATCCCAGGGCCCAATCTGATCACAGTTTTGTGGTGTCCCCACTCTGGAATAGCACCCCATCTGCAGTCCTATTACCTGCCTCCCAGAAGGGTCTAGGAGCATCTAGAGCTTCTAGAGCATCTAGGTCACAGCAGCATCTGCAGTGGCTCAGCTCCCTCACACGCCTACAACAACCTGCTCTCGCGGTGTCCTGCCTACCATCATCTGGGCTTTCTGTCCTCTTGAACTCCTGCTCACTCTACACGATGTGAACGTGTCCTCTACCCAGGCTTGCCCCAGCTCACCTCTTAGTTTCCCAGACTCTTTCTCTGCCCAAGCCTCATCCTTGGCCCCTTGAGACCTGGAAGCCACAAGCATAGGACTCGCCACCCTGGCCTGCCTGCCCAGGCTGCTCTGGTGCCTGAGATAAACCTGTGCCAGATCCCTCCCCTGTGACCCTGTCTATGGCAGTTCCCACCTTTATAGCCTTTTACCCTCTTTGCTCTCTTCCTGTCCTGTACTGTCAAAGGCCACGTAATCAGGCATCAGCCTTTGTTCTTTGTGCAGGTCACCAGAAGGTGATGTTCACCATGCACACTCTGTGGTCAGTCCTCAGTGTCCCCCAGCTCTACCCAAGCCACCATGTGACTCCTGACTGCTGGCCACAACCTGCCTTCCCTCCATCCTTTGCTCTTCTCTACTGGGCAGCAGACTGCCCTGCTACCTTGAAGGCTGGACTGTCCCCAGCCCTGGATGATATCTTTCCTACCTATACCCCAGGAAGCAGCCTTGAGCTCACTGGGCTTCTCCCCTCCCAGACCTGAAACTCACTCTTGCCTACCATTGCATGCATCCAAACCCAGCATCTCCTGTTGCCTGGAGTGTCTTAAGGGCTTTTCACACACAACACCCCAGTTGAGACTCCTCCTAGAACCTTGATGTCACCTTAGCTCTGCCTGAGTGTCTCCCACTCTCCACTAGGACAAGGCCATCTTTTGAAGGGTCTTTCTCACAGCCCTTGACCCTTCCCCTGCTGCAGCAAGATGGTTCCTTCCTCCTTCCTGCAGAGTGGCCTGCACTCCTCATTCCTCCTTCCCCATTGGGGGTGCTTCCTTTCCCTGTCCTGAGACGTGCTTTTTCTGGATCTTGGCCTAGAGCACTCACTGTTCAGGTCTTCTGCAAAGTCACTGCCAAAGGGAGGACTTCCCCAGTACCCTGTTTGGAAATGTCATCACCCCACTTTACCTTCCCTTCTCTGTGAACACTTCAGAAGGGGTGTGCGTGTCCTCTACTCCTTCTCCATGCTAGGGTAGGTCCAGCACGTGAACTTGGCTGTTCATAGCAACACTCTCGATAGCAAGGGTTGGCTGCATTGGGTGCTAAAATGCAGAGAAGAGGACCAGTTTCTGTCTCTCTTGTAGAGAGATCCACAGAAGGGACTAGGTCCATGGAGGCAGGGAGGTAGAGGAGTCTGCAGAGCCCAGGCAGAGCTAGAGCAGCAGAGCACAATGCCTAGCCTCACAAAGGCACAGGGCAAAACAGAGCAGGAGCAGCTGATAAGGGGCCCAGAGCTCGGTGGGGGCCACCAGAGCCTCCCAGCTCCTCCACTACCCACATTTGTGTGAGTGGCCCAAGTCAGGACATGAGGCCCTGAAGGAAGGAGGCCACGGAAGCTGCCAGTTTGAGGTGGGTCCTCTTCCTGTCCCCCAGCCCTATCCTAGGCCCTACAAAAACAGGTCCCAGCATGTGGCCCACAAAGTTGAGTCCACTAGCTGTGTTCTTGAGGTGGGAGTAAGGCTCTGCCTGGGTGGGCTTAGCCAAGCCCCAGCAACAGGTTCCACCAGCAGAGGACCCAGCACCAATGACTTCTTTCCCAGCCACACTTCCCCAAGCTTGCTCTGTGTCCCCACTTCCTCTCCATACCTGCTACCCCTCCATCAGGAACCCTGAACATAAAACCTACCCTTTACCCCGAACCACTTCACAGAGACAGGAAGCTGTTACCCCCAGCCCCACCTGGGTGCCATCTTTTCTCCAGAGTCTACCCACCACATGTGACACTGAGGGAATGAGAGAGAGAACAGCACAGTACTGGGAGGAAGCCGGCAGAAAGGGAAGATACGTGGGTAGTGTGGATCCCTCCCGTGGATCCCTCTGTGATCACAAGACAAGCCCCTGTCTCAACTTTGACCCTTCCTAGGATATGGGGACTGGAGTCTGAGCCTGGGTTCTGCAGGGCTGGTGTCTTAGTTACTTTATGCTCATCGCTGAGACAAAATACCTGATGCCCAAGTTGGGAAAGGAAAGGTTTATTTCTTACAGTTTTTGGAGGTTTTAGTCCACGCTCAGTTGGCTCCAAGACAGGCGGGCATGGCTGGGCTGCAGTTCATGGTGGCCGCCAACAGCAAGCAGGAACCCACAAAGAGCAAAACACACCTTCTTCCTGCCATTATATCACATCCTGGCTCCACCCTTTTGTGGGTGTAGCACCGACACCGTCAATCTAGACAATGAACAAATAACAAATGCACAATGCAAACTCATGAGGCCTGGGGGACACAGACATAAACCATGACACCTGGGTAGGATACCTCTTGGATGTCATCAATAACAAGCCAGAAACCACCTTCTGGGGGCTGTAGCCATGCCTGCTTCCACCTCACAGTCCTCATCTGTGACCCCTAGGCTCTGGGCACTTGCCTATACAGGCCGTGGGAGTTGGGGTCTGCAGTCTGAGTGGCAAGGGCTTTGGGAAAGTGGGAGATCAACCCTGGCAGAAATCTCTAGTCCACATCTGCAGGCACCCTTGTACTACCCTGCCACAAGGCTGAGGCTCCTAGTGTGACTGTCTGTCTCTCCCGCCCAGTCCTTAGCATCCATAAGCTTCCTGCCAGCAGTGCCACTGACATCAGCTTCCCCATGAAGGGCTGGCGAGCTACTGGTGACTGGGCCAAGGTGCCAGAGGACAGGGTCACAGTATCCAAGAGTGTCTTCTCCACAGGCTTGGCAGGTGAGGCCCAGGAAGCACGAGACTTGGGCCCAGAGTCAAGACTGCCACCTTGAATGCCCCCCTACAGCCCAGCCCAAGCCTCCAGAGGCAGGACGACATTCACACTACCCCTCTGTGGTCCCCAGGCTAGCACCCTCCAGGAAGCCCTCCCTACCCTCCTAGGCTCTGGTGAGCTAAACCAAGTGGACAGGTGGGCTGGCTCACTGAAGGAGAGGCAGGGACTGTTGAGTCATGGTAACCAGGGCTCTAGTTCCCAGGATAGACACCATCTTGCCCCTGCCACACCCTTGGGAGTCACTTGGGGAGGGTCTGAAGCTCTTCCACCTCCTAGCTCCTGGGTGTACACTTGTGGGTGGGGGTGGAGACCCACGAGGGCTGGCCAGGTAGCAGGTCAGGTCGGGTGACCAGGTGCTCCCTTCCAGAGGCGGATGACTCATCTGTATTCGTAGTCGGCACCGTGCTCTATCGCAATCTGGGCAGCTTCTTGGCTCTGCAGAGGTGGGCAGTGCTGGTGGGCAGGGTGGTCCGAACCCCCAGTGGGAGCAAGGGGCAGGCCAGGGTGAGAGGAGGTGGAGGGTAGGCTGCATGGAGGCGGTGAGGGGGGCAGGCCAGAGGGTACAGGCTGGGTCCATGATGCTGCTGCCAATCTGTCCTGCCAGGAACACGACCGTGCTGAACTCCAAAGTCATCTCTGTGACCGTGAAGCCCCCACCCCGCTCCCTGCTCACACCCTTGGAGATCGAGTTTGCCCACATGTACAATGTGAGTGTTCCAGGTGCACGAGTTTGAGTACAGTGATTGCCCCTGTCTGACCCTGCATGTGGTCTTGGCTCACCCACCAGGCCCCTCCATCTCCATGCCCAGGGCATCCATGAGGCTAGGAAGTGAGAGACCCTTTCCTGGAACCCCTACAGACTATCAAACCCAGCCCTGTAGAGGCTCTGAGATTTTAGAGCCAGGAGCATCCTCCCAGAACACCCTGGGACAGATGCCCTGCTGCTCTGTGATCCCAGACTGATGAGACTTTCCAAGGGTCAAATGTGTCAAGATGCCTAGGAAGGTGACTGACTCCAGGGGGACCCTCTGGGCTAACAGTCCTCATCCAGGGAAGTAATAGTCAAAACTCCTCCAGCCCCTGAGTGGTCACAGCTAGAAGTCCCAAGGAAAATGTTGCCCAGGTCAGGAAAGTGGCAGGCCACAAACCCCAGGCCAAGACGATGGGAAGTCACAAGAAGAACCCATGTTCCAGCTGGGTAGACTTGGAGGAGTTTTTCAACCTCTCTGTGCCTTGGGCCCCTCCCTTATCACATGGGTGAAGACTAACTTGTTCCCATAAATTCTTGTCCCATAAATGCCTAGAGTGTCCTACTGCTCTGAATAGCATCAATTCCACTGGCATAGCAGGCCTGGTAGGAACAATGTCTTGCAGTATTCTTGGACATGCCTGTGGGACCAGGGACATGAACAAGGCAGGGGTGTTTGCCACTTGCCCTCAAGTGAAAGTTTTCCCATCACCCTGCCAGAGCTAGGCTTTGGCCACATGGGCCAACCTGCTGTCACCACTGGGCTTAAAGAGGACAAGGAGCCATATGAGATTCAGTGGGCACTAGATTGAACTAGTCCTCAATGGTCTTGTCGGGCCTTTTCTCCATTCTGGGCCTCTGCCTTTCTGGGACAGTTCCCCTATAATATGTAATTTCTCAGGGTGTCACACAGGCAGGGGATACTGTATCTGTGGGTGGTCGGGCAATGACCCTTGGAGGGGCAGGTGGCCCTGACTCCCCCCTTCTCTCCCAGGGCACCACCAACCAGACCTGCATCCTGTGGGATGAGACAGATGTGTAAGTTCACCCAAGCTCAGTGGCTCTAGGGCGTGGTGATTGGGTGGGGATCAGTCCACAGGGGAGGGACATGTTTTAGGGTGGGAACTGTTCTTCCTGCCCCGCTATGTGCTGGCATGACCTCTGCCACCATCTGCCCAGGCCCCCTCCTCCTCTCCCATGCTCTGTACAGCTCGTGGGGAAGGTGAGAGTAGCCTGCTCATCCTGTCCCAGAGCAGCAAGTGTTGGTGTCAGGGCGCCAGGCAGTGTGAGGCCATAGTGTCTCCAAGCTGATGAAGACAATTTAGAAGGAACCTGAGACTCCAACTATTCAGATGGACTGGGGCTCAGGAGTGTCACATGCCCAGTAGATAGCAGCAAGAATAGGCTGAATTCTCATCCCCTGCAATGTGCCATTACAGGGAGGTGAGGAAGAGTGATAGGGGGTCTCCTATGTCAGAAGGGAGGGGCAAGGCCTGGGGGAGCACTCCAGAGGTGAGGGGTGTTGAAGCTTTGGAACCAGGGCCTGCATCAGGTCCTGATAGGCCACCAACCACACCACTTTCCTCCACTTTGGCTCCCTACACTCCTTCCCTAGGCCAGGCAGCATGTGAGTGCTTAGTGTGGCCCAGGCAGTGGCACTACTGCAGACTGGGGGCTGCAGGGTGACAATCATGTATCCTGGGCAGCAGGGACAGTGTCTTGAGCAGCCAGGCCAGAGGATGAAATGGCTGGTAGATGAGGTGGGGGTTCAGCTAGAGCCACATGGAAGCTAGAGGGCATGGGGAGCAGAGGCCTGACAGCATGCGTGGCAGGAGGCACCAGGCAGAGGGTGCTTCTGGGAGATGGGACAATTGCCCACTCACTCTCTGTCCTCCAGTGATTGCTGCCCACTGGTGAGGCACTGCCCCACAATGTCCTGGCTCTTAGCTTCCTTTGTCCCCAGTAAGAAGGCCCAGTGAATACAGAACAGCCGGCTCCAAGATGCTGGGTCATGCCATGTGCTGGGAAGTGGAACCAAAAGAGTCTGGGTGGGTGCGGAACTGCTGAGCAGGGATCGGGAAGCCCTCATGAGGAGGTGATAGCTGGACGTCAGCCTGGCAAGCTCTGTGCAGGACAAGCACTGTGGCAGTGGGGCTGCTACCTCACATCCTGTTGTGGGTCTGGGGGCTAAACTGGGAAGCCAGCTCTCTTGTTGATAACTTTCTTTGGGCTTTGCAAGTGGCATAAGCTCTTTATGCAAAAGAGAGACTCTGAGAAGAACAGAAAAAGAAAAAGAAAAAAAAATATGGCCCTATACTTCCAGGCACCAGGCTGTTCGCCTGTGGCCATCTTGGGGCATTGTGAAGTTCTGGATTTTCAGGGAATGAAAGTGGTGCTGTGGACACAGATTGAATTTGTCTCCCCACTAAGCCCCCATCCCCACCCAGACATACTCTCTTGGGACTGCTCACTGGCTGGTTCACCTGGCTGTTCCTGTGGGTGCTCTGGGTAGCCTGTGTTTCCTGCTCACTTAAGTACCAGTGCGAGCAGCATCCTTGATTGGACAGCTCTGCCTATGTTTCTGATTATTCTCAGCTGGTCAGGGCTTCTGCCTGGGGCCCAGGCTGACCCAGAAACTCATTCTGGATAAGACCTGGGAGCTGGTATCAGCCTACTTTTGAGGAGCAACAAGGCAACCAGAGAACCATGGTTGAGTTGCTGGATGCTCAGAATCAGTGTGACCTTCTTCTCACAGGTGTGGGAGTGTCCCACAATCCACTTGCCACTCCAGACATGCTTGGCACCAGGTCCCAGGGATCAGGTCCACTAAAGCTTTGTGTTGACCAAGACATCCGGGCCAGGAGGGCATCAGGGAGGTGCTGGCTGTGGCCTGGCCTTGTCTTTGTGATGTTGAGTGTTGACTCTTTCCACTTCTGCTGGAGAATCCCTGATCTGTGTGAACTGAGGAGCCAAGTGCTTCCCAGTTCATCTGAGTGTGGGCCAGGGGCATTGGGTGGTGAGGACTGGTTTGCTCGACAGTGTGCCTGGATGAGGTCTGCGCTGAACTGGGAGTCTGTGTTCATATGAGAAAGCACCAACAGTCCAAGGAGAGGTTTGTGTGGGGAGTGGTGCCTTGTATGGGAGGGGGAGACAAGACAGCCATCTGTGATCATCAACTGACAAGGTGACCTCTTAGAGCCATAATTATGACACATAGTCAAACCTGTACAGTTGGTAGAGAAAGAGCCCAGATCCTGAACACAGTCTGACACTTTACCCAGGACACATGCTGAGTCCCGATCCTGAGCTCTGACCTTGTCATTCAGTAATCTGTCTGGCCTGGGTAACATATTGTGTTCTGACCTCAGTCACTCATTTAAACGCTGGTCACATGATCCTGGTCATACACTGATTTGGTCACACACCAAACCCTGGTCCTGGTCACAGCCTGACCCCTATCCTGTGTCAAAACTGAAAGGATTTGTGCATGTTCACATGTGTGTTTGTAGGGCCACTTCCTCTTCCAGCCACATGCAACAGTTGGTAGAGTGACGCATCTCACTTGGAAAGAAGGAGCTAGAGTCTTTGCGAATGGCAGACCCTCTGCCTATCTTACCCCCAGTAACTCACACACAGCTCCCTCTTCAGCTTGGCATGTACCTCCAGGCATCTGCCATGCTCTGTAAACACTGGCCTGGAGCCCTCTGGAGCCCCTAGGCTTTCAGCCAGTGTAATATGATCAAATTCCATTTCTAAGCCCCAAATTCCCTTGATCACAGGTCCCTACCCTGGCTGAATAACATGTCTGAAGGTCTCTGATCCCCCATACCTTATCCTGGCAGTGGCAGCAAGTTCTGGGGAGAGTCTTGGAGTGGGGTAAGGGGAACAAAGGGTATCTTGCAGAGTTTCCAGGGCTCAAGTTAGAAGGGACCACCCATGACACAGCATACGCTGTGCAGCCCCTCAGCCACGTGTTTCTGAGTGGAGGGACAGTGGCAGCCGCGTAGAGTCACACCTGTGTCCAGAGTTGGTGCTGGCTGAGCAGTGTGTATAGCAGAGGCTGACTGGAGGGTGGGTGACTGCCCCCCACTGGGCATAATTGGGGATGGTCAGGTGCAAGAGTGAGGTGCGAGTGGGGAGGCAGAGGCAGGTGAGTGTCAAGCTGATGGGCAGTGACTCAGTAGACAGATAACTTCTGAGCACGTGGGGTGGTGGTAAGGGCTGAAAGGAAAAAGGGGTGGCCATGTGTGGGAGGATGGGGAATCAGTCTTCAGGGCTGCCCTGACAGATCTCCCAGTCACCACTGGGTACCTTCGAACTTCACACACCCGGCCTTTGTTCTCACAGTTCCAGAGGTCACAGTTGTGACTACAGACTGGAGGAGACCTCACCTCTTCCAGCTTCCAGCAGTCCCTCTCTGCATGGCCCTCCCCTTCTGTGCCTCTGATCTCTCTCCCTGATCACTGGATCTGTGGTACATCCTAAATTGTGCATGATTTTTATCTCAAGATTCTTAACTTGATTACATTGCAGAGGCCTTATTTCCACAAAAGATCATGCTCACAGGTTCTAGGGCTGTATGTACATGTACTTTGGGGGACAATAATCAGTCTGCAGTAGACAGAGAGGTGATAGGCGCTGGGCAGACAGACAGACTGGTAGAGTTGATGGGCCAACCACATACTGGACACAGCTCTGTGGTTCTGAAAAGAGAGTTCCCTTCTCACAGAAAACCTGCAAATATTTTGCAGTTTTTAAAACTTCCTTTTAAACATTTCAGAGTTATGTAGAATATAAAAGTCAGAGCTGGCAAGATCCCCAGAGACCAGCCCTTTTACTCTTAGAAAGTGGCTCAACTGAAGTCCACTGTGGGCACGTTGGCAGGCCAGGGCACTTCAGTAGCAGCGTGCGAGCGCTGAGAAGGGCACAGTTCTCCTGATCCTGGGTCCACTGACTATAAAGGCTCTGAAAAGTCTTGCAGTGGTTCCTCTTCGACTGAGTCAGGCAGTTTCACAGCTTGTGGGCTCCCAAGACCCTCAATATGCCTGATATAAGCTTCCCTGGACCTGGCCCACAGAGTAGATTTCTTCCACTCTCTGGGCTCCTCCCCTGGAACAGCTAAACCAGGAACCCCTAAGTCTGCTCTGTTTTACTCTCACAAACTTTCCTTGCCTACTTGTCCTTTATTTACCAGTATTAAAGGGGAGAAAACTGAGGCTTCAATGCTCACTGACAAGCCAAGGGCTACCTGAAGGTCAATTTAGTTGGGTTGGTTTTCCCAACTCAGCCTAGCATGGAGGGCCTAGGCCAGGAGCAGCTGCCCTGGGAGACCTGCCCTGAGCGAGCATCCTGGTCCCTTTAAGAGCCTGGTCCCTCCTATCCTCCCTGGTTTCCTTGGAGAGGGCAGAGAGGGAGGCAAGCGGAAGCCCAACTTGGCAAGGTCCCTGGGTAGCTGTCAGCAGCTGGTTCCCAGCCCAATTTCTCCCACACCAGCTGGTTCCTGATGGGGGCAGGGGCATGGAGTGGGGAGAGGGTGGGGATAGTCCCAGCACAGAGGCCACTTTGGTAATCGAGGGTGCACAGCGTGGGGAGCAGGAGGGAGCTAGGTGACAGGAGGCGGACTGAGGACAAGACTACCCTGTCCTAATGTAGCTCCAGCTCCAGCCTCTCCTTTTGTTTCCTCTACAACTCCCTCCACTTGGCCCTAGGTGGCTAGCAGTGCTGGCTCGGCTGTCTCCCTGCAGCATCCTTGCTGTAAGAGACTTGCGGCAGGTCCAAACGCTGGAGGGGAGGGATGGAATCCTGCAGTCATGCGCTCAGACAAGTCTTGGGGGCCTGTGCCTGCTGGCAGCCCCACCAGAGCACTCCCTCAGCCCTTATGAGACCACATAGCTGGGGAAAGACCCAGCTCTTCCGCCTGCCCAGCACTCCTGCAGGCCTTCTGGAACTCTGGTCTTCTCTGTCCCCTGCCGTGGGCTCCTTCTTCTGCATTTGTGGCCAGACCCTGCAGGTGCCCCCCCCACTCCGCACCATTAACC